TGAGCACTTACCCGAGTCAGGGGTCATTTACACAGATTAATTCATCTAACCTAGTAACAAACCTGAGAATTGGATTCTCTCATACCCTCATCTTAGAGATGAGGACACTGAGGCCCAACAGTTAGGTTCCTTCCCCAGGCCGGCAAGTGACTGAGCCAGGGTGTGACCCCAGCCAGTCTGGCTCAAGTGTTCATCCTCATGACCCCTGCACTGCTGCTGCCTTACTGCAGTTAGTGTTTCTCAGGTGGTCTCTGGAACCTCTGGGTTTTGGGAGGCAACAGGCTGTGTGACTGGTGCTTGACTCCCACAGTCTTCAGTAGAGTTCTGGCTCAGCTCCAAGTTGTAGGTGTGAAATGTGGTGGACTCTGCAGAGTCATCTGCAGGGTCCCATGGGAGGAGTGTGCAGAGTGATTTCTACCCAGTGGAGCCAGAACTCCAAGAGGCTGGCCCCAGAGGCTGAGTCCTATCGTCCTTTCCTGAGCAGTGCCTCTACCCCTCTCCCACCCCACTGCTCATCCTGGGCATTGTCTAGGCCATAGGTCATTCTGGACAATGCAGGTGGTCCCACTGTGAGACCTGTCTGATATATGGACCTTGGGTTGCAGTGAGAAAAAGCTTTTCCCAAACAGCTATCCAGCTTAGTTGAAATCTATTCCCCCTTGGGCTGGCCTGTGGCTCACTTGGGAGAGTGTGGTGCTGACAATACCAAGTCAAGGGTTAAGATTCCCTTACCAGTCATCTTTATTAAAAAAAAAAAAAAAAGAAATCTATTCCCTCCACCCCAAATTTATTACATGACCGTTCTTGGCTATACTTACCTCCAGGCCTACCTGTGCTTTCTATCAATTGCTGTAATTTTCTGGTAAGGTTATATCAACAAACTGGCAGTCATTCCTGCCACCCAGTAGCTATCCCTTCTGCCCCTGGGAAACCCTCTTACATCCCCATTTTTCAGAGACTGGACCCTGTGAAGGACCCCCGGCAGCACCTGTAGAAACCTGGAATGGCACAGGCACTGGTGCCTGCTCTAAACCTTTATTTTGTACTTCCTGGGTGCCAGACAAAGGATCCTTGGATCCTGCATCTCCTTGGGACTCGGCATGGCCTATAGGCTGGAACACCTGGCTGAACTTCCTGTTGGGGGCAGGATATGGTGCCAGTAATACCTGGGTGAAGAGCTTGGCACTTTAGATGCCACTTTAATTCCCAGTTCATCCAGTGTAGGTTTGGTGCAATGTAGGGTGAGGGAAGTGCACACAGTAGCCTAGAATTTTTCAGAAGTGGTCTAAGTGGCAGTTCATGGGAAACTAAAAAATATTGTTAATTTTTTTATAGTGATCAGGAATTTAGGTGTATTTGGAAAGCCTGATGAAAAATTAAATACTGAACTAGTTAACAGTTCAAGTTGGAGCAGAACCCTTTTATTTATTTACTTTATTATTATTATTATTTTTTGGCAGCTAGCCAGTATGGGGATCTGAATCCTTGACCTTGGTGTTATAATGGAGCAGAGCCCATTATAGGGGCAGGTTAACTTAGATCAGGACAGCCACACTGACCATGTACTCCAGGATCAAAGCAACTTAGTATGTTGGTGGATGCTGTTGGGAGTCTGCAGTGTTCCTGGCTTCACTCTGGCATCCACAGAGTTGCTGTCATCTTGGGAAAGGGCACGGAAATGTTTTTTTAAATATGTGGGGTTGAGGAAATGGTACATTTAGTAGGTGGTTGAGGGTTTTATATAGTTCTTCCCAAGTTGAGGAATAAAGTTTCAGGCTGGTTCACCAGAACTCTGTTCTTGGTTGCCAGCCTCTTCCTTCCTGAGAAGGATTACTGTGCTCATAACACGACAGTCCTGGAGGTAGACGGGAGGGGGACCTCTTGTCCAATAGACTCTGGCTCACTTGTCCAGTGGCCTTATGGGGCATTTCTTTCAAAGCAGTGAACATGATGTTGCTCCTCACTAGCTCATCGTTGATTTTCCTATAACTCTGTGTGTCTCCTCTCAGCTGTTGCTTTAGGCACAGGGGCATGGGTGAGTGACAAGGAATGGGGGAGACTCAGGGGAAATAGGGAAATAAAGGCCCATTGTGGAAAAAAACAGATGCGTTTCCTAAGAATTGACTGCACACTGTTGCACAAACATTCGTGTGGCCTCCTGATTTCGTCTGGCCGACGGAGGCTCACTGGGGAATGCTAAGCAGGAACATGCCACATGCCCGGCAGTGCAACATGCTTATCAGTCTGAGTCTGTACAGGCGCTTGGCACAGGGTAGCTCTGTCCTGCACTGAATTCCCTTTGGGTGTCTGTAAGACCTGTGGTCAGAAGTTCGTCTGTGGCCATTGCGGATGCCTTCCAGGGGCTGCCCCACTCAGAAATATCCATCCCCCAAGCGTCTGCTCGGAGGAGTATAAGAATTGGTATGATTTCCTTTTTCTTTTTCTTTTTTAAAAAATGTTCCTAGTTTCACAAATACTCAGGGACTGGAAATGATAATAGGCATTACTTAAGTTCCCCAAAACAGGTTTCCAAAGGAGAAACAGGTGGGCACTGATATGTTACCTCCTCCTGTAACACTCCTTGGGTAACTGAGTCCTAAGCTGAATGACAATCTCAGCTTGTTTTCTGAAGGTCGTCATGAGGCCTGTGGCTTTGCTGTCTGCTCATGTTAGTGCAGAGTGGGAGAAAACATGTTCCATGATGCTGAACTGCCAGCATAAAGTGCAAGGCCTGGAAAGGTATTTGCCAGCTCTCAGAGCTAAAGTCTGCAGAAGAGAGATGTGGGATTTGTATCAGACTAGCGGGGGAGCTTTGGCAAGTCCCCCAAGTTCTTCTACTTTGTTACTGGTTTATTTGGTTTTGGTTCTTCTAGGAAGAGTCTGCTGAAGGTGAGGGCCATGGACTTTATCACCTCTACAGCCATCCTGCCACTGCTGTTTGGCTGCGTGGGCATCTTCAGCCTCTTCCGGCTGCTGCAGTGGATGCGCATGAAGACCTATCTGAGGAATGTGGTGGTGGTGATTACAGGCGCCACCTCAGGCCTGGGGAAAGGTGGGTCTTGGCAGCAGTGCTGTCGGGGATGGGGTAAGCCAGCCAGGGATGAGGGCTCGGCTGCACAGGGACCCCTAGCACAGGTGCCTGACGTGGCAGCAGGAGATGCAAACAAGAGAAGCAGGCCAGATGTCACTGTCCTTGGTCCATATGGAAAAAGCAGGAGCTTAAGTGCAATGAGAAATGGCCCCTGACTGTCAGCGTCAGCATGGGGAGGCAAAAGCAAGTGACGAAGACTGTGGCAAACTGGAGGCTGTGTGCCCCCTCGAAGAGGCAGCCATACACAGCAGCAGCTGCTTGTGAAGTAGGGGATTTATGTGAAATCCCAAGTTTCAAGTGTTTTTACCTCCATGAGGGCCAAGTGAAACAGGCCTTTTCGTGGATTCTGCTGGTACCCCTGGTTCATGGCCTGGCACGCACCTTCCCCATACCTTCTCCTTCCTGGGGCTGGGCCTTGGCAGGGTTAGAGACAAGATAAGTTATGACTCAGCTGTTTCTCAATCAGGTTCTCCAACTGAGTTCCATTCAAGTTCAAGTAAACACCTTGAGCTTCTAAGTCCCAGGAATTATATGCTAGAGTCAGTCAAAACCCCCAACCCCCATTCCTTTCCTGGAAGCCCGTATAGACAAGTGGCAGAACTCCATCATTTTCCCTCCACACAAGTATATTGACTTTGGCAGCCTGGCTGATGGGCAAATGCAGGCCTGTCTCGTGGAACCCCCTGCCCTCTATCCTCTACATCTGCACATGCACACAGCATGCCAGCCACACCTGAGTGCAGTTCCATGGAGGAAGACTGGAAGTCCTTGTGGTAAACCCACCCGCTGCTGCACCTTTTGGTTGGTGATAGTACAGCACTGACTGGGCATCTGCTAGGTTCAAGGCTCTCGGCTAAGTGCTAGGACAAACAGATGAAAAACAGGGTCCCTTCCTTCAAGGAGTTCACAGTCTCCTGGAGAAAGGCAAGGATTTTATCTCAGTATATTGTCATTTCAGTAATGGATGTTCCCAGTTAGGCCTGGTTGGGGGGAAGGCACATTTATATGTCCTGGCTTGTGCTAAGCATTTTTGCATGCATTATATCACTGAACTCTCACAGCTAAGATTCAGAGAAGGTGTGATTTGTCCTAGGACTTCCAGCCAGAAAACTTAAAGCCAAGATTCAAACCCCCGTCTCTCTGCCTCCAGAACTCACAGTCTTAAGCTTCACAGGGGTTGGGGGAAGCGGGGGATGGTCAGGATGGCCATGTAAAAGGAAGGTGTGGGCCAGTAGGAGGGCATTCCAGATGGGGCCTAGAGGTGTAAGCAGCATGGTCATGCTGGGGGTTGTAAGCAGTTGGGTGCTGCACGAACACAAAGGAGCAGACGGGGCCTTGTCTGTTGGGTAAGTGTCTTGCTGTCAGCCAGGGGAGCCTGGGAAGGCTTTAGGAAGTGTGGATTCATTTGTATGCCACTATACATGTGAGTTGATGTCCCTGGAGGTGACACCACATCTGTCATTGGATATCCAGACCTTTGAAGGGACAGCTGCCTCCAGGCTGTTTGCCACTGGTCAGTCCTCTGGCCTTACTTGGCTACTATAAATACGGTAATCAGCAGCCACTTCTCTTGATCTCAGAGAGAAGCATTTTAAAAAAGTCCTTGAAGAGTATTTGAGAGCCAGCTCAGGTGGGACAGTGAATTGCAGGTGCCCCAATATGTGGATGATCGAGAAGGACATTGTCCTCTTTGTCATTTCTCGTATCCTCTCCTGACACCAACACTGTAAAGGGGAGAGAAAATGTAATCAAGAAAAACAAACCTCGGGCCGGCCCGGTGGCGCACTGCTGCAGTGCGCCGCTTGGGAAGTGTGGCGGCGCTCCCGCCGAGGGTTCGGATCCCACATACGGACCGGCCGCTCACTGGCTGAGCGAGGAGCGGGGGCAGCACCGAGGGTTGCGATCCCGTTGCCGGTCCCGGTCCGGTGCGGGCGCGACACTGAGGGTTGCGATCCGTTGCCGGTCACAAAAAAAAGACAAAAAGACAAAAAAAAAAACAAAAAAACCCTGTATACATACACAGTATACATTGTCGGGCCTTTCCCGGATGCCAGTCACTCTGCTTCTATTCTGCTCATTTAACATCTTAGGGAGAGGAGTCCTTCCATGCAGGCAAAGTAGGAACAGATTCTTCACTGGCTGTCTCAAGTACAAACACCCACTGTTGATGTGACCAAGGACTGCTGCTGTTCCCTAGCTTTTGTGAGGAGGAACGTCCACGTTGTCCTCTGTGGCTCTCCCTGCTATGTGAGCCACCTGCTCTCTGTATTTCTCATATTTTGTCTCCTGTTTTGTGTATTTAAGCTACACAAACTTGTCCTTGTAGAACAGTAGGACCATTGACTAAGGGAACAGAATGTTCTGGATGTCTCCTTCAGCCAGGCTGAACCATGGTTGTGCACAGCTATCTTGATTTGCAACCCAGGCATGCCGGCAGCACAGGAGAATCTTCTGCAGTTCTAGATAAATGGTACCTTGGAACTGTTTTCCTTTTTCCTTTGACCTTCCTGCCTCCTTGTATCAGCTTTTTCAAGAAATTAAAATGGAATCCATCCAATCAGTTGTTTTCATTTCTGTCATTCCCTACACAAACTTTAATTTCCTCCCTTTTGGCTTTGCTAGGAAGCAAAGCTTATGCAGAATTTAGGTGGTTATTTTCCAGAAGCTGTTTTGTCTACCAGCATGCCTCCCACCTTTGGTTCTGTGTGTCTACACTCTTTGGTGTCACCTCACAAAATGTCCTATGTATTGGTCAGGACAGGACAAAGTGGGATGAGGAAGCCAACATGGCATAAGGTTCCTAATCTTTGGGAATGATTTAGTAAACCAGATGAGCAGTTCCAGCCTCAGGAATGCTGGCGTCTGGCTAGCAGTACAGCCCCACCCCCACCTTCATTCCTGGGAGGGCTTTGCCACTCTGCTGAGAAGGCCGGCAGGGATGTGCAGCTGTTAAGACTCCACATATACTAACTCATTTAAGTCCAGGGTGCGGAGAAACTGGCTGCAGCTCTCTTTGGGGTTTCTGCCCTTTGCTGGAATGAGCCAGTGAACAAACCAACAAAACCTCCTTCAAAGAAGATGGTGCAGCACATCTGAGAATGTATTGATTTAGTCTACTTATCTTGTCTTTCCAGAAAACTCTTATCTGAGCGTGTACAGCAAGGTGCTGGCCTGGGCATGTCACATGAAAGCTGTAGGAGGAGCTAAAGGAGAAGCTGTAGAGGTTTTGCACCATGACACAGACATTGAAGAACCTTTTCTCTTTGACCTCTCAGGACCTGTCAGAAGGCAAAATTACAACAAATTTAGTTAAAGATCTCAATTGGCTTTATTGCGATTCTAGAATTGGGCAACACGTCATTCCACAGAATAAGTGTTCCAGTGAGCCAGGCAGAGGAGGCTGAAGAACCAGAAACAAAGAACAGAAAGCGGATTGGTCATTTCAAAGTTACTTTTCTTATAAGGTGGGGGTAGGGAGACAGAACAATGGAAAAATAACTGATTATTTATTTAACTTCAGGTTACTTCAGGCTGTCCTTTTTGTGTAAGGATTAAAGCACAGGGAACTTCATTATCACGCCCATTGAAGATTTAAACTGGCCTATTTGGGAAATTGTGTGTTATACCTCTCTCTACAGATTTCTGGGAAGGTCAGACCACAGCTTAGTTTAGGTTTGGTGACAGGGAACTTAGCAGGAATGACTCCATTTTGATTTTTAGTGTGGTCTTTTGGGACCTAGTGCAGGAACTTAGTTCAAAATGATGGCCTCTGATAATTTTTATTTAAGAACCCTGAGTTCTGAAGGACACTGGCATTTCTTCTCCCCTCCTGTTTTGAATCCTTTTAAAAGCTTTAAAGAAGTTTGACACTTCCATGAGGGAAGGGCCATTCAGACGAGTATTACAATGCCCGAACCCTCTGACCTTCTCCCCTCCCAGCCCTGATCCCTCATCCCCTCCCAGCGTGGCTCCCACAGATAAAATGGCCCTATAAGGGCAGGCCTGTCCCTTCCATGAGCCAGGGGGTGACCAGGATGCCACTTGTTCACCTGGGCCTCTAAGATCAATATGGAACCATGTGAGTGGCTCAGTGCCTATATTGTGGTCAGCCAGGGTCCCTGAGGTGTCCTGTGCAGATCTGGTCTTGAGGGAGACTAGATCTCAGGTGAGTACAGGCAGGGTCTCTGTAAGCCCACCCCATTTCCATTTTCACAGTCAGTCAGTTTTTAGAACATTTTTAAAAGGCAGATTAGAAATACAAAAACAAAACAAACTTCTGTAGTGCTTTTTATCTACCACTATAATAAGTGATTACCTACTTTACCTCATTTAATGCCAGTCACCCCTGAATTAGGCATTATTTTTATCTGCATCTTAAAGAAGAGGAAAGTGAGAAACAAAGGTTATAACTTACTCAAGATTACAGAACCAGTGAGTTTGGGAGACAGAGTTGCCCACAGTAAGTCCAGCTCCAGTCCATGCTCTTGACCACTGGGCTGTATTCTTCTAAAAAGCTGTGAGTTTTCAGAGCAGTGGACATTTAGGTAGGACAGGTTTGGGGGGAGGTTAAGCAAAAAGCAAGAGACATCGCTCTCTGCCCCCCTCTCTGTCTTCCCAGAGATAAACAAGCCCCTCCTTCCCTCCTCCCCAACCCAGTTCTGAGGGTTTCACCTCCTGCCTCCAGGTGGCATTTTTTTCTGCCCCTTTCACACTTTGTCCTATTAACAGACCCCTCCCCATTAGCCACAGGAGATTTACATGTGACTCTTGCTGGGCTAATCCTAGTGATGTCGCCCCCACCCAAGTCCTTCCCTGTGATTTGGACATCAGAGGTAAGAGGAGACTGTCCTGTGTGGCAGGGGAGTTGTGTTGATATGAGCTTAGAACTGTCTACAGTCCCATCTCATGGAGAAGCCGGCCCAAGGGAATGATGCAGAGAAAGGCCCTGCAGCATCTGAGAGGGTTCCCTGCCTGATTAATCTTGCCAAGCTTCCTCAGCCGAGAAAACAGGAAGACGTTCAGGGCTAAATAGGAGTGCTATGGAAAGTTCTGAGCATAGTACTTAGCAAATCTGTCTGCAGCTCCTGCTATCCTCCTGCCTGTGGATGTCTGTCATGCCACTGGAGGTGAGCTCTGCACTGGGCCCTAACTTCTAGCTCCAAGCTGGTCCACAGCAGGAGCCAACACACATGTGTCAAGTGCACGAAGAAACAAACACGTACGTTGCAACACTGGGTGAATTTGAACTGAATTGTGTTGGAGAAAAATGGCATTGGATTTCCTCAGCTGTCAAAGTTCTTGTCTCTTCCTTTAGAATGTGCAAAAGTTTTCTACTCTGCGGGCTCTAAGCTGGTGCTCTGTGGCCGGAATGCGGAAGCCCTAGAAGAGCTCACCAGAGAACTCACTACTTCTCGTGCCACCAAGGTGAGCCCTGGGGTGTGGTTTCCTTGGGGAAGGGGTACAGTCCATCTTCAGTAGGCACCTGAGGAGATAGCGGCCCACTCCTGGGCTGCTGGGCTACAGGACATCCACGTGGTCACACTGTCCCAGAGAAGGCAGCAGGTGTTTACAGCAAGTTGCGCCTGTGGCCTGAGGAGGGAGAATTGTCCCACAGTTTGCATCCTTACGCCACCCCTGACTAGCACTCAAGTTGAGGAAGTTTCCTCTGGAGAGTGCTCTCCCCCTTCCTTTACCTGGCTAAGCTCCACTCATCTCTTGGTGGTGGGGTTGGTGATGAGTTTAAAAATTTTAATTGTAAAATATACGTAATATTTATAATTTTAACTGTTTGTAAGTGTACAGTTCAGTGGCGTTAGATACATTCACAATGTATGTGACTATTACCACTATGTATATATACCCAAAGCTTTTTCAACATCCCTAACAAAAATTCTGTTAAAAAAAATCTCCATTAAGAAATATCTTCCCCGTTCTCCCTTCTCCCAGCCCCTGGCAACCATCATTCTACTTTCTGTTTCTATGAATTTGACTACTGTAGGTACCCCATATAAGCGGAATCATGCAGTATTTGTTTTTCTGTGTATAGTAGTCAGTTTTCTGTTGCTTATAACAGAAAGCCTGAAACTGTGTAATTTATAAAGAAACAAAGTTTATTTCTTATAGTTCCGGAGGTTGGGAAGTTCATGGTCAGGGGGCACATCTGGTGAGGGCCTTCTTCTGGTTGAGAACTCTCTGCAGGGCCCCATGGCAACACAGGCTATCACGTAGCGAGTATGGAATGAGCAAGAGAGCTAACTTGCTCACTTGCTCTCCTTCTAAAGCCTTCAGAACCACTCTCTGATAACCCATTAAAGCATCAGTCTGTTATTCCATGAATGGATACGTCCATTCACAAGGGCATTGTCCTCACGATCCAACCACCTCTTAAAGACCCCACCTATCACCTTATTGGGGGTTAAGTTCCAAAATGAGCTTGGAGGAGCATTCAGAACACAGCACTGTGTCTGGCTTATTTCACTTAGCTTAATGTCCTCAATGTTCATCCATGCTATAGCATGTATCAGAATTTTCTTCCCTTTTAAGGCTGAATAATATTCCATTGTATGCATATACTACATTTTGTTGATCTGTTTATCTGTCGATGGACACTAGGGTTGTCCACCTTTTGGCTATCATGAATAATGCTGCTGTGAACACTGGTGTACAAGTATCTATTCAGGTCCCTGCTTTCAGTTCTTTTGGATACATACCTATGATACAGTAGTTCTGTTTAACATTTTGAGAAACCAACAAACTCTTTTTCACTGCAGCTCTGCCATTTTGCATTTTGTTCTGGTTTCTCCACTTCCTCCCCAACACTTGTTATTTTCTGGGGTTTTTTTTCCTAATTATACCCATCCTAGGAGGTATGAAGTGATAATATCTCATTGTAGTTTTGATTTGCATTTCCCTAATCACAAATGATGTTGAGCATCTTTTAATGTGCTTATTGGCCATTTATATATCTTTGGAGAAATATCCTCTGCCTGTTTTTTAATCAGGTTGTCTTTTGTTGTTGAGATTAGGAGTTCTTTATGTATTCTGGATATTAATCCCTTATGAGATATACGATTTGCAGTTGTATCTCCTATTCAACAGATTGTCTTGTCACTTTCTTGATATTATCCTTTGATACACAAGTCTTTAATTTTGATGAAGTCCAATTTATTTTCTTTTGTTTACCTGTGTTTTTGGTGTCATATCCATAAGGTTGTTGCCAAATCCAATGTCACGAAGATTTTCCCAAGTGTTTTCTGTGAGTTTTATATTTTTAACTCTTTGATGTTCTTTGATCCATTTGAGTTCATTTTTATGCAGGTATACTCTCGGAGACACTGTGGGTTTGGTTCCAGACCACCACAATAAAGTGAATATTGCAATAAAACCAATCACATGAATTTTTTGGTTTCCCAATGCATATAAAAGTTATGTTTACACTGTAGTGTAGTCTATTAAGTGTGCATACATTATGTCTAAAATAACAATGTATGTACCTTAATTTATAAACATTTTATTCCTAAAAAATGCTAATGATCATCTGAGCCTTCAGCGAGTTATAATCTTTTTGCTGGTAGAGGGTCTTGCCTCGAAGTTGATGGCTGCTGACTGATCAGAGTGGTGGTTGCTTATGGCTGGGGTGGCTGTGGCAATTTCTTAAAATAAGACAACAATGAAGTTTGACACACTGATTGACTCTTCCTTTCATGAAAGATTTTTCTGTAGCATGTGATGCTGTTTGATAGCATTTTACCCATGGTAGAACTTCTTTCCAAGTTGAAGTCAGTCTTCTCAAACCCTGCTTAGTTTATCAACTAAGTTTATTTAACATTCTAAATCCTTTGTTGTCATTTGAGCAATGTTCACAGCGTTTTCACCAGGAGTAGATTCCATCTTAAGAAACCACTTTCTTTGCTCATCTGTAAGAAGCAACTCCTCATCCATTGAAGTTTTATCATGAAATTGTGGCAGTTCATTCACATCTTCAGCCTCTGCTTCTAATTCTGGTTCTTTGCTATTTCTACCACATCTGCAGTTACCGCCTCCACTGAAGTCCTGAACCCCTCAAAGTCATCCATGAAGGTTGGAATCAACTTTTTCCAAACTGCTGTTAATGTTGATATTTTGACTTCTTGCCATGAATCATGAATGTTCTTAATGGCATCTAGAATGGTGAATTCTGTCCAGAAGGTTTTTCCATTTACTTTGCCCAAATCTATCAAAGGAATCACTGTCTATGGCAGCTATAGCCTTATGAAATGTATTTCTTAAATAATAAGACTTGGAAGTTGAAATTACTCCTTAATTCATGGGCTGCAGAAAGGATATTGTCTTAGCAGGCATGAAAACATTAATCTCCTTGTACATCTCCATCAGAGCTCTTGGGTGACTAGGTGCACTGTCAGTGTGCAGTAATATTTTGAAAGGAATCTTTTTTTCTGAGCAGTAGGTCTCAATAGTATTATTGAATAGTTAAAGTATTCAGTAAACCATACTGTAAACAGATGTGCTGTCAATCCAGGCTTTGTTGTTCCATTTACAGAGCACAGGCAGAGTAGATTTAACATCGTTCTTGAGAACCCTAGGATTTTCAGAATTTGTAAATGAGCATTGGCTTCAGCGTAAAGTCACCAGCTGCATTAGCCCTTAACAAGAGAGTCAGCCTGTCCTGTGAAGCTTTGAAGCCAGGCACTGATTTCTCCTCTCTAGCTACATGTTCTTCCAGTATAAGGCTGTTTTGTCTACGTTGAAAATCTGTTGTTCAGTGTAGCCATCTTCATCAGTGATCTTAGCCATATCTTCTGGATCACTTGCTGCAGCTTCTACATCAGCACAGCACTTGCTGCTTCACCTGGCACTTACTTTTATGCTTTGGGTCTAGCTTCTTTCCTTAAACCTCATGAACCAACCTCTGCTAGCTTCAAACTTTTCTTCTGCAGCTTTCTTATCTCTTAGCTGAAGAATTGAAGAGAGTCAGGTCCTCGCTCTGAATTAGGCTTTGGCTTAAGGAAATGCTGTGGCCAGTTTGATCTTTTATCCAGACCACTAAAACTTTCTCTGTGTCAGCATTAAGGCTGTTTTGCTTTCTTATCATTCTGTGTGTTTACTGGAATAGCACTTTTAATTTCCTTTAAGACCTTTTCCTTTGCATTCTTAATTTGTTACTCACAATACGGGCACAAGAGGCCTAGATTTCAGCCTTGGCATTCTATATGCCTTCCTCACTAAGCTTCCTAGCTTCTTTAGAGGCCATTGTGGTTTTATTAATTGGCCTAATTTCAATATTGTTCTGTCTCAGGGAATAGGGAGGCCCAAAGA